TTGAGCTAACTGGAGTAGTTTCATGTCGTATCCGACAACGGGAGGCTTTTAACAGATGACGTCCTGATGTTAGCTTTGCTGCTAGTGTTAGCTGTCCCTGTCAGCTGCAGCCACTGATGCTTTCTAGACATCGTGATTTCCCACAACTGAATAAATACCACACATAGCAACACAAAACTGCTTTGCTAGCTCAATCATGTTGTAACTAAGATATCCGCTGGAAAAAATCTTTTTTTCACGGACCGTTTAATGAGTTATTACCTATCACAGACAGACATAGTAATGTTTGTTCAGTCATTGTGTTTATAGACTTTACAAACATCGGATTAGTCTTAACGGTGATACAGTGATGTGAAAAATGTGATATATAGGCTATATATATAGCTAAAAGCTCTGCTGGTTTTCTACCTGGAAGTATTTGTAAACAACAAGGCGATTCCCTCTATAGTCCGGCCGGACAGATGAGTCATGGCCTTGTAAAAGATTATGTTTGTTTCTTTTAGTTGGCGAGAATGTGTCGCCGCAAACGCGACAAACATCCACTAACTTTGACGGCGTTTTCTGCGAGCAAGGCTGAGCCATTTTGTACCGCTACACGTGTTTCTAGTCGGACTTTGTTTACAAGCACAAGAGTTCAGCGAGCCACCGAAGGACCGCCCTGCAGATTTACTATTGGTTCTGCAACGTAGGGAGTTTTTTTAAACTCTGAAATTGTATCCGCCCATCTAAACACAAAATCAGGGAGAAAGACATCAGTCTTTAGTTAAGCAAAGCGTCTAAAGACTGACTTGTGAATCTAGCATTTGCATTGCGTTGTCATCCCACGTTCATCTGAACCGTACACGTTGGATTTCTATCACACAAAGATGTAACAGAAACAGAGAGAAGAAAAATGTTACAGCCTCTCAAACTGTCACGACTTGTGTGTATGCTTGCTAATAATATAGGCTAATGTTGGAAGGCTAAAGTTAGTGTGAATGTAAATAACTGAGGCAAACTGTGAGGTTTGGTGGCTATTTACCAAACTCATGAGTCCCGTCAGAATAATAATCAGAGGCATTAATATATATTTGACTACAAGTCGAACCTGCCCTGTACGTGTCTGTATCACGATGTAATGTTAGCTAACGTGGACCCAACAGGAACTCAGATGCTGCTGACGGACAGATCTGTGATCAGTTTGTTGACCAATAAGGAAAACAAATGATGAAAAATGTTGACATCAGTAATGTTTATTTATTTGTTTACTTTATCAACAGGGACAGTAAACAGCTCCTTAGGTGCACCTTAAGTGCTATAAGCTAATTTTCATTTGTAGTCTGTGTTTTAATCTGGTTGAAGGATTTTTGAGTCAAAGGTGAAACAACAAAGATCTGATGGGTTACAGTTTGATTTAACTCTTAGAAAACTGACACCAAACTCTGGCTCTGACGCAGAATTCAAACACTGTCACTGACGTCATGACCTTTACTACTTTTATAGTTTTGTTGCTAGCACACAACTCACTGTCAAACAAATTTCCTAAAATAGGCGTATGCCACTTCCCATGCAAATGTTGTGATCTATCAAAACAAAACTTTGACACGTCAGCGTCATACTGAGACTTCTTGTAGCTGCTTTAACGGTGTGAAAACATGCAGACTCTAAACGTGTCATTCTTTAACCCTACAGACTCCAGCCCCCAGATGGTCTTGCTGACATCAGGTCTAGGTGAGAGCTTATTGGCTGAGACTGAGATGTGACCCCTCCCACTCGCACACACACACCCACACACATGCACACACACACACACCCACACACACGCACACACACTTCCTGTTAAACCTTCACTTTGTTTGGTTTGAATGTTTGTTTCTCTGCACTGCACTTCTCTGTCAGATCACCTGATGGCTAACAGCCAATCACATGCTCTGCATGGTTTGATGTAGCACCTGTCTATACACACACACGCACACACACACACACACACATATACAGATGAGTGGCAGCACAAAACTTTATTAACACACACCAAGTGTCTTACAGACAGACAGGTGTTAGTTCAGTGTGTTTCTGATGAATGTAGTTCTGCTCTGTTGGTTCCTTCTGCTGCTCTGATGTCACAATTATTAAACTGTTTACAGCTTCGTAACCACGACGACTCTGACTCTTCTTTCCTCTGCAAGCTAGCACACAGCTAACACACCGCTAACACACTGCTAACACACTGCTAACACACCGCTAACTCACAGCTAACACACTGCTAACACACAGCTAACTCACAGCTAACTCACTAACACACTGTTACAACACTAGGGCTGTCAGAATGAACTTCGCTAATCTGAAACAATTCGAATTATTGTAAAAATAAGCATATTCGAAGTTGGAAACTAAGGTTTGAATATTTTGATTAAAAAAATTGTGCTCTACTGTGCATTAAGAGATGTTTTTTGAGGAAATACAGGACTGTCAGAGAAGCCCCGTTTACAAACAGGCCTACAATCCATCTCGTCTCTCTCTTCTCAGCGGAGGGTGACCTGTCAGCCCTGCACTGACAGTGACAGGGCGCATCTCTTTGATCCGAAGTGACACAGCCCGTTTGCTCATGCTTCGGGGTCGTTCAATAGAGTAATTGCAAATAAATATTGTTTTAATGTGTAACTATTGATATGTTCACAAGGGCTTTCATAAATTCCTACAATGTTGCGGCACTGCCACCTTTGCAGGTTAAAAGTTAATGACAGCGACTTGAAGTGAGGAGGAGCAACACGTCAAGCTGGAGATGCTCACTTTTGCATGTGATGCAAAATATTAAAATAACGTCATTATAACACAAAAAATATAAAAATGCGGTGTTAGGCATAGGCTATAGCCTGTACCAAGGAAAAATTTGAATATTACTCGAATTTTTAACATAAAAAACATTAAAAAATCAAATCTGATTTTGGGGGAAGACTGACAGCCCAATACCACACTGCTAGTACCCTGCTAGCACACTGTTAACTCACTGACACACAGCTAATGCACTGCTAACACACTGTTACCACAGAGCTAACAGTATGTTACCATGCAGCTAACATTCTGTTACCACACAGCTAACACTCTGTTACCACACAGCTAACACACTGTTACCACACAGCTAACACTCTGTTACCACGCAGCTAACACACTGTTACCACACAGCTAACACTCTGTTACCACGCAGCTAACACTCTGTTACCACACAGCTAACACTCTGTTACCACGCAGCTAACACACTGTTACCACGCAGCTAACACTCTGTTACCACGCAGCTAACACTCTGTTACCACACAGCTAACACTCTGTTACCACGCAGCTAACACTCTGTTACCACACAGCTAACACTCTGTTACCACGCAGCTAACACTCTGTTACCACACAGCTAACACTCTGTTACCACGCAGCTAACACTCTGTTACCACACAGCTAACACTCTGTTACCACGCAGCTAACACTCTGTTACCACGCAGCTAACACTCTGTTACCACGCAGCTAACACTCTGTTACCACGCAGCTAACACTCTGTTACCACACAGCTAACACTCTGTTACCACGCAGCTAACACTCTGTTACCACACAGCTAACACTCTGTTACCACACAGCTAACACTCTGTTACCACACAGCTAACACTCTGTTACCACACAGCTAACACTCTGTTACCACACAGCTAACACTCTGTTACCACACAGCTAACACTCTGTTACCACACAGCTAACACTCTGTTACCACACAGCTAACACTCTGTTACCACACAGCTAACACTCTGTTACCACACAGCTAACACTCTGTTACCACACAGCTAACACTCTGTTACCACACAGCTAACACTCTGTTACCACACAGCTAACACTCTGTTACCACACAGCTAACACTCTGTTACCACACAGCTAACACTCTGTTACCACACAGCTAACACTCTGTTACCACACAGCTAACACTCTGTTACCACACAGCTAACACTCTGTTACCACACAGCTAACACTCTGTTACCACACAGCTAACACTCTGTTACCACACAGCTAACACTCTGTTACCACACAGCTAACACTCTGTTACCACACAGCTAACACTCTGTTACCACACAGCTAACACTCTGTTACCACACAGCTAACACTCTGTTACCACACAGCTAACACTCTGTTACCACACAGCTAACACTCTGTTACCACACAGCTAACACTCTGTTACCACACAGCTAACACTCTGTTACCACACAGCTAACACTCTGTTACCACACAGCTAACACTCTGTTACCACACAGCTAACACTCTGTTACCACACAGCTAACACTCTGTTACCACACAGCTAACACTCTGTTACCACACAGCTAACACTCTGTTACCACACAGCTAACACTCTGTTACCACACAGCTAACACTCTGTTACCACACAGCTAACACTCTGTTACCACACAGCTAACACTCTGTTACCACACAGCTAACACTCTGTTACCACACAGCTAACACTCTGTTACCACACAGCTAACACTCTGTTACCACACAGCTAACACTCTGTTACCACACAGCTAACACTCTGTTACCACACAGCTAACACTCTGTTACCACACAGCTAACACTCTGTTACCACACAGCTAACACTCTGTTACCACACAGCTAACACTCTGTTACCACACAGCTAACACTCTGTTACCACACAGCTAACACTCTGTTACCACACAGCTAACACTCTGTTACCACACAGCTAACACTCTGTTACCACACAGCTAACACTCTGTTACCACACAGCTAACACTCTGTTACCACACAGCTAACACTCTGTTACCACACAGCTAACACTCTGTTACCACACAGCTAACACTCTGTTACCACACAGCTAACACTCTGTTACCACACAGCTAACACTCTGTTACCACACAGCTAACACTCTGTTACCACACAGCTAACACTCTGTTACCACACAGCTAACACTCTGTTACCACACAGCTAACACTCTGTTACCACACAGCTAACACTCTGTTACCACACAGCTAACACTCTGTTACCACACAGCTAACACTCTGTTACCACACAGCTAACACTCTGTTACCACACAGCTAACACTCTGTTACCACACAGCTAACACTCTGTTACCACACAGCTAACACTCTGTTACCACACAGCTAACACTCTGTTACCACACAGCTAACACTCTGTTACCACACAGCTAACACTCTGTTACCACACAGCTAACACTCTGTTACCACACAGCTAACACTCTGTTACCACACAGCTAACACTCTGTTACCACACAGCTAACACTCTGTTACCACACAGCTAACACTCTGTTACCACACAGCTAACACTCTGTTACCACACAGCTAACACTCTGTTACCACACAGCTAACACTCTGTTACCACACAGCTAACACTCTGTTACCACACAGCTAACACTCTGTTACCACACAGCTAACACTCTGTTACCACACAGCTAACACTCTGTTACCACACAGCTAACACTCTGTTACCACACAGCTAACACTCTGTTACCACACAGCTAACACTCTGTTACCACACAGCTAACACTCTGTTACCACACAGCTAACACTCTGTTACCACACAGCTAACACTCTGTTACCACACAGCTAACACTCTGTTACCACACAGCTAACACTCTGTTACCACACAGCTAACACTCTGTTACCACACAGCTAACACTCTGTTACCACACAGCTAACACTCTGTTACCACACAGCTAACACTATGTTACCACACAGCTTACACTCTGTTACCACAGAGCTAACACTATGTTACCACAGAGCTAACACACTGTTACCACACAGCTAACACTATGTTACCACACAGCTAACACTATGTTACCACAGAGCTAGTGGTGCTAACATACAGTGTTTCTCAAATCACATACTCCTGTACTAAACACTTCATATTTAGAGTGCACGTGTGTTCACACTGCAAAATACAGGAAAATGCAGTGTATTACTGACACCCACAAAACGGTCCAAAAGTTGCGTGTGGAATGATGAACACTTCTCACTCTCATCAGTCGCCATCTTTGTAACAGCAAACGTCTCAAGTTTTGACATGGCGGCTGGGGACAGCAAGGAGCCTTTTAGTTCTACATGGTTTTTGCACTAAGTGCCAAAACCAGGGTTGCCAACTCTCACGCATTCACCTTCCATCTCACTCTGCCCAACCAATTCTCATGCCAGCAACGAACACTGGAAAAAAAGGCTGGCAGCTTAGTATTTTAAATTTATTTCAAACAGCTGGTGCGCCGGGTGGGCGGAGTTGAAGTTTGCAGCCAGACTTCAGAGAGGGGAGAGGAGAGGGGCAGACTCCACCTGACCGGCGTACTGGTTGAGTGAAATGGAGTGCAGCCAAATGTTTCTGTGGAAAACTACTCTCTGATTGGTGAGCAATCCATATTTGTGCTTTGATTGGGCAGCTCTAGTCTCACAGTACGCCGACTACGCTGTCCTGTTGTGATCTGAATCAATCGCACCGAGGAGACGTGTGCTGCTGGCGGTGCTGTTGTGTGTTAACTATTTTCATCAAACCAGCCAGCAAGAAGCAAAAAACCTTGCACAGTTTCTTTCAAACAAACCATGTAAGTTGAGTAATGCTGTTGCATGTAGATAATGTTCGCTAAATGATGACTAATTAATAGATGCCAATAATATCAAGTTAAGCTAGTTAACAAGAATACTAATGTTATTGTTACCTCATTCTCGGAACCCATCGGCTGTATTCGGCGTCTGACTTCCAGCAGACGGGACCGCCAGTGTTACTTGAATAAGTAAACACTGACCAACGGGACCAGACTGGCCGACCCGTATGCTCTCACTCAGTGGATGGATGATGTCACAGGAAGCCAATCTGACAAAGGAGGACCACACTTGTTTGTTTGTTTTGCTATGGAAGCTAACGTTAGCTAATGTGCCCTGAAAAGCTAACATTATGGGGAAATCCAATATTTGTTTTCCTATTGCAGCTAACGTTAGCTAATGTGCTAAAAAGTTAGCATTGCAGAAAAGTCCAATATTTGTTTTGCTATCCACCTTATTTTCAAACATGAAAGTAAATAGTGATCAACTTCCGTGTTTTTGTGCGTGACTTATGGTCAGCCACTTTCCCTTACCAAAGCTAATGGTGCAAGCTAATTTTTTTCAATTT